AAATGTTTACTTCAATTCATTCAAAATCTGACTTTCTGTAGCTTAAATATATTTATTGGGCATCTTGAAGTGTAGAACAATGCAGAACAGGGAGTGACTCTTCTGTGCAGTATATCTTCAGATATTTAAGGATTCCTATCATATCCCTTGGTGATCTTCTCAAGATTAGACATCCCCAGTTATTTCACTCTTTCTATACACTCTTGATCATCCTCATCACCCCTCCCTGAAGCTGTTCATTTGTCTGAATCCTTCTCAGAGTATCCAATCCTCAAAAAATAGCCTAAATAATGCAGTATAAAGCAAAATATTTTCCAAGATTTGGAAACTAAGTTTGTGCTGATGTAGCTTAAATTACATTTGCTTTTTTTTTCAGCCACATCACAACTCAAAAGGAATAGCAATTAACAACTTACTCTAATAACTTTTTCATAAACATGGTTAGCAAGCCAAGTACATAAATCCTATAACTGTGCATTTTCTTATCCTAAGCTTTTGTCTCTGTTGAATGTAATAATTATTTGCAGCCCATTTCTCTAACTTATCAATGTGATATTGAAGTTTCTCTTGTAGTTATCACATACATTTTGCATCATCTACAAATTTGATTTGCATTCCTATCTCTTCAACCCTCCACCTTATAACTTAAAGAGTTACAGTGAATAATCAACATTTAAATTAGGCTCAGAATGAACAAAGGCTTGCAACAAAAGTCAAAGATAACATATGAAGAACTGTTGCAGGAATTGGATATGGCCAGTCTAGAAAAAAGAAGGACTAGGGTGACATGATAGCAGTATTCCAATATTTGAAGGGCTGCCACAAAGAAGAGGGGGTCAATTTATTTTCCAAAGCATCAGAAGACAAGACAAGAAACAATGGATGGAAATTAATCAAGGAAAGAAGCAACCTGGAATTAAGGAGAAACTTCCTAACAGTGAGGACAATTAACCAGTGGAACAGCTTGCCTTCAGATACTGTGGGTGCTTCATCATTGTGGGGGGGGTTAAGAAATGACTGGATAGCCACCTATCTGAAATGGCATAGGGTCTTCTGCTTGAGCAGGGGGTTGGACTAGAAGACCTCCAAGGTCCCTTCTAGCTTTATTCTAATTGACAGGACAATCCACTCAATACTGTCTACAGTTTGATAAGGAATCATTAGTAATTTTCTGAATACTATTTTCATGCCTCTACTGGTAGAATTGTTGAAACTTTAGAAAATAGGTTTCTTAATAGTATACTGTAGACCAGGGGTGTCAAACTCGCAACGTCACGTGACGTGACGTATCG